TTCTTTTTTTTATGTGACATCAGCACTTCAGGCTCATGTTCGTCCTATATATAAAGCAGAGTTGTTCTTTTGATCTCAAAAGTTGCATGAATATAAAAACTGTTTCTTTGGTTACACAAATCTGAGAACCATCTCAAATATATATTAGCAGGCAGGCAGGCAGGCTGTATGGGCATTTTGTTATTGCAGTATAGAAGACTTGATTATGGAAAATGAATATTAAAATGTTTTCAAATTACGTCACTTAGTCATGTGCCTTTGTAACGGAATCCTGGACCAGTGGAACAACATAGCGATTAATAGTTACCTCCGTCCTACTTGCCATTCACTAGTCATTACTGATATCATTAATTAATTTCATATTTTTGTTTTTTTCAGTGTTGGAAGTGACCGACTTGGAAACTGAAGATAAAACATCATCAGTGGTGACTCCAGTCAAGAAATTTACTGACTTGGATAGTACGGAGTCTCAGCACTTTGTTGTGCAGCTAACCGATGCATTCTGGCATTTACATTCAACTAAGCCATCAAATTCATTCCTTGGAGCAGTCTGCTTGCCAGGTACATTTTTCTTCACTATTATTTTCCAAATTAAGATTCTGTAACTGATTTTCATCTTAGACCTTGTTGATATACTGACAGTTTTGAAAAATGTAAACAAAATTGTATTGTTAATGGTGCACCCCTGTCAAAAGATTGAAAAAGCCTTGTATAGCAATTTGTTGAGTTGACACAAAAAATTGTCTCACCCAAAGTTGAATCATTGCATTGATTGGTTGGCAGTTGTTGAGAATTTGATTAGGTTGGTACTTTGTGTGTATTTCATCAGTTGTCAATTGCTGCGTCTTTGATTAAATTGGCACTTGGTGAGAATTTCATTTCTCTAACTGAAACATCTGAAATTTTATTCTTGCAAAAAATGCATCTCTCATGAAATTTAAACTTTAGTGACTTTTTATTTCAGGGTTGACTCATGTTGAAGCTACTGTCGCAGCTCTAATAGAGATTATCCACTCCTTTGCATCATGTGATTTAGACAATGTTAACCTGGCAACAAAGTTGTATGTTCAGTTTCTTCTCTGTGAGGTAAGTAAAATATTTAATTTGAACTATTGGCTAATATTATCGTCTAGTTGATATTTGATGAAAATTAGAGTAATAGAAAGGTACAATTTAGTAAAATTCATCATTCATTCTCATTATCCTGTAGAATCAAGCTGTGAGTTTCTCAGCTAAACAAGCTTTGATCAGAGTGTTGCGTCCCAGACATAGAAGACGTAGAGTGGTAATTCCATCTCCACCACGCTGCAGTACACCGTCTGGTCCTGGTACTGGTGCGGATGAAGAAGAGGGTGATGAGAAAACTACCCATCATGCATCTGTTGTTGAGAATAGTGGCGTATTGGATCCATCACAGGTACAAGACAGTGATTCACAGTTTGAAGTTGTGGTAGGTTATCTTCATTTGTCAAGTTTTTATAACATTTTCATTGCATTCTTTGCTACTAATTTTTCATGATGCAATGATTTGAGGGGCATTTGTATTTGAACAACACTTCACAAAATTCAGTTCTCCATATGGAATGGCTAGACGCAATCTTTTCTTATTAAAAATAAATTGAAACAGTTTAATATTGTTAAACATATTACAATAAACCTGGGGAAAATCTGTTAACAATCCTGTATAATACTTAACTGTAAAATAATTTATATTTGCAAGAATTATTTCCCCTGAAATGATGTGTCAGCCGTTTATTTTCAGTTGGTTTAATTGTAAAATATAAGAAAAAAGGTATTCACTGGATTTTATTTTTGCTGATTCTTCCTTCAGCAAAAATAAATTTCAAGTGAAAATAAAGTAATTTACAGTAAAAGGTGTTTTTCCTGGATTTCATATAAATTAGTAATTCTATTGAAGTAGTTTACTGATTTGCTGTTTCCTTCATTTGGGATGTAATGTTTGCATATTCATCATCTAATCTTTCAAATTTGTTTGGGGGGTGTGTAGAGAGACTGCTAAAATTCTCTTTTTGATCCTTTTTTAAAGGAACAGCATGTGCCAATGGAAATGGAATCTTCTGAACCTGGTCATGTTAGTGGTAATCCTAATCCGAGTTCTCTAGAAGCCTTACTTGGCAGTGGCGGTGGATTCCCACCAATGCTGGATATCCCGCCAGATGCCGATGATGAAACTATGGTCGAGTTAGCCATAGCATTGAGTTTACAAGAACAACCAGGAAGAGGTGGGTCAGGACTTGGACTACAGGGACTGTCTCTTGATGGACAAGGTCGAAGTTCTTCTTCTCTTGAAGCTGGTACATTCTCCGATACTACCGCCTCGGGTGAGGGTTAAGTCATTCTCTTGTGCTGCCCAGTAATTGTTTTTATTTAGGCCAAACAAAATTACTAGTTTCTGGTCCTGTGACTGGCATCTTTAAAATTTATGCCAGGAACATGCATCTGTAATTTTTTCTATTCTGACCATTCCAATATATATATATATGATGTATTTGTATACTTCATCTGGCCACCCTTAAATGTAATTGGATGGCCCAAAGGTGGTGGCAGTGTTTCTTGTAAAGAGGACAATCAATTATTCTTGGGAGGGGGTAGGAGTATTATAAATTGTAATACAATTAAAGTCCCTATAGATGACATTGTAAAAAGTTGAAAAGTAGGAATATTTTACACACACAACCAGTGAATTAATTACCCAAAATTTCACAAAATTAAATAGTAAACAACATCACAGTCACTTTAAATGAATCAGTCTGTCATTTCACTAAAACTCCACTCACAAACCTTGCACATTTTGCTTTTGTATTAACTAAAACAGTTTTAAATTCAAGCATGTAATCCTTTGTAAAAAAATTGTTCAAAATAGAGAACATTACAATGACCTTGTGTATTGAGACAAATCCTAATTGTGGTGTGAAACCTGAATTGATGGTGTCTTTCATGAAGTCACATCCATACATTGTAGCTCTTCATTCCAATATTTATTTCTATTTTATATTCAGAGCTGATACTATTTTCCTTAATATCACATTCTATCTTTTTTCTCTTTTCTTCTTTGATTTGATTTGAATTGTTTTTGGTAGCTGCAGCCAGTGATGATGAAGGTAGTACTGCAGCTACTGATGGCTCTACACTACGAACATCACCGGCAGAACAGGGTGGTAGTGCTGGATCTGAAAGTGGTGGCAGTGTGGTTGATTCTGGTGAACACGAGAGTGGTAAGTTGGCAGAGAGAAAAAAAATGCTTTCTGTAAAAGATTTTAAATTTGAGATTGTGTAGGAAACGTGTGCGATTTCATTGAGATGAATATTCATGAGCTTCAGGCACTGCAATAAGCTGATATATGTATAAAGATGGCTGAATGAGTGTTGCCATGACAGCAAAAATATGAAAATAAATATAGTAGTGAAATCATTGATACGTTAAATAAAATGATAGCCTCAGTGTTTTCCCCACAGTTTTGGTATAGCATGCAGCTCCATTAATGTAACATTTCATCGTCATGGTTAAATTTGAAAGTTTCTTTTATGTAATTGAAGTACAATTTATCAACATTTTCTGATTATGACTTGTAGGATTACTAAAATTTGTAGTTTTGTCAATTTATCATTTGTATAAATAGGGTTGGAGGATGTTTTTCTTTTCTTTGATTACACTGTGTGGCATGATTTGCCTCAGTTAAGTGCCTGTGCAATGCCCACCCTCACGTTTCCCATTTTACATCTGTGTCCCACTGAAATGGGCAGTTATTGATTTTTTTGCGAAAAATGATTACTCGTATCCAAGTAAATTTGGGATATTTCTCGTGTTGTAACCACGCCCACCTATCCTGAAACGGTCGACTGTTTCCGGATTTCCGACTCTCGCCGAAAGTGTGCCACCAAATGCCAAAATGTGAGAGGAAGTCATACCCCTGATCCGTAATAACACTGGTCATTCAGTATACTTTTAAACCATATACATTTTTCAATCACGCCATGGATCACGCTAACTCGAATCCACTCTGAATTTATCTGTATGTGTGTCGATCTCGATTATTTTTGTTATCCAATTAAACGCCGCTTTTAACGCACTTGCCCTCGTCGTGACCCGACGCGTTCACCTATTTCAACAAAATTTCAATTTATTTCCATGCGGCTGTCATTTATTTAGTAACTGTGATTTGTAGTTTTTTTAGCTCCGCTGTCGACTTTGTCGAGCGGAGCTTATCATATGAGTGATTGTCCGCCGTCGTCGTCGTCCGTGTCAGTGTTTTACTTTTTCGACTTCTTCTTGAAAACTACAAGCCTGAATGCTTTGATACTTGGTGTATATGTACCTT